GATGTAATAAGTCCATGGTACGACGCTGGGAATTATGGTAACTACTATAGCAGGTGAGTCCAACTAGGTTGTCCTGACAACACGACCAAGTTTAGAAAACAAGGTCAGACCACATCTAATTTTGTAAGGTTCTGAAAGATTGACTATATATACGATACATTTGAAAAAGGGCTTAATGTCCCTCTTGTGGAGCTTTTAACATTAACGTTTTTGGACTTTATTTGAAAAGTCCTGTCAATTCAAGCAATTTTATTGACTAAGTCAGAGATTGAATGTTGAAATATCAATCAGGAATATACAGAACAGTGTTTTGGACTTAAAATTTGTAAGCCCGAATGATCTGGAATAATGAACATTGCTCTATATTAAAACAAAATCTTGAAGGAACTTTGTGATATAAGGAAAATCACACATTTTTTCCTTACCTAAAAATCGAGAAAACTTTACTGAAATCACCCTTATGTTCATATGTAGAGAATCCAGTATCCCCTCGTCTCTTCAAATAAAATGAAAGGTACATCAACAGCAATCATTATTTTATGCTGACTTCAAATGATGTAAAATGAGTCTATTGAATTTTGCTAAGAAGAAGCGGCATTGTTCCCACAAATGTACACCAAGTGAAATCCATTTATGCTTAGAGAGCAGGCCTCTAGATTCGATTGCCAGGTTATTGAGGCTCCTGATGAATTCTTTTAAAATAAGATATTCCAAGCTCTAATAAAAACAAATCTAGACACTTAAACTAGCTGGAAATAAGATGACAACCTTCCAATATAGGCCAACCAAAAGGGGCATAGAAGGCATACAAGCTAAAAAAAGCACTTATTGCGAAGCCCAAGATCGAAATAAATATAAATAGTCAAATTTTGCGAGTTGTATAAGAAAAAGAAGTCAAGACAACCAAAATGAGTAAAAAAAATCGTCTTGAGTAAAGAATATAAATAGAACTCCGTCAAAAGTGTAAATTTTAACTAGAAATGGTTATAATACTTGATTTGGTTGTCCGGACCGATAAGAGTTAAGGATGCCACATTAACTAAGACATGATAACTGTTTGCCAGCATAATCCGCAAATGCAACAGGGCATGCAAAAGAAATAGACTCAGGATGCACTAACTAAGACTATTTTGTCAGTAGAAATATCAAGGCCTCGGAAACAGACACGGAGGCGAACTCTGCATGTTTGTTCCATGCCCCAATTCTGAGCTAGCGTCATGGCCAGGGTCTGTGTGCCCCAAGGTAGGGAAACAGCAAGGCGACATGAGGCTCCACCGCGAGAATCAGCATCGTCAGAGCCAACACCGGCGCCAGTAAATAGACCAACACTCCCACCCGAAATAAGTGCTGGAAGCAGAGTTGTAGGCGCCTGTTGACGAGCCGTTGAAGCGTGTGGACCTGCGAGACGTGAGATACTCCAGGACGCCAATTCAAGCTGCTTGTGCGGCATTCCTGAGCTAGGAGTGCGATGTGCGTAGAGGGATAGCACAAAGTCTGAAGGTGTGTGTAAGTTTCTTAACGGAGGGCAAGCCACATCAAAGAGACGAGGGATCGGAGGTGCTAAAGAGCACTCAATAACTGAGAATTATAAGAACAAGGAAAAAGTAAGCCAAGTTGAAAAAAATGGCACTCAAGGAAAAATCTGTCCAAACGACTTAAATTAAGGACAACAAAATTAATTGGGTTCGGAGTGACATAATGAATAAAATGTCGCATAATTAAAACAATATCAAAGGGATTAAGTTAGTCAAGATTGA